TTATAAAACAAGCACATTGTAAGAAGGTTGAGCAATTTTAGAGAAGTAGTATGAAAATACGTCCCAAGTAATCCTATCAGCTGTTTAACATATTTCTTATAACAATCACAGAACTAGTGTTTTTACCGTCTATACAGAAATATATTGGTTATTGTAAAAAAAAAAATTTACTATGTGCAAGGTTTGATACTGGGTGCTTAGAATACAGTGTCAAGCAAAAACATATGTTCTCTGCTCTTTCAGAGCTTGTATGGTCTACAATTCTAATGAGAGAGATCGACATTATTGAGTAATCATACAAATGTAAAATTCCTACTGGGACAAGGGACATGAAAAAGAAGTATAATAGTACCCTGTTAGTCTAAATAGGAATATTTTTCCAAGACTCCATGTGATGTGTGATTGTTTCTTTCTCCCTGTTCATTGCTCAGTGGAGCAAGGTCTATGCACACTCAGTGTTCATCAACAGAGTTTTGACTTCCTCTTGGCCCTCTTTTCAGAGCTGCAGATTGGTGTGCACAACACTGAGTCCAATCCCAGGTTAGCAGGCTTTCGATTAGAGATCCTCAGGTCCAATGAACTAGCATCTGCTTGTACACCCACCGCTACAGAGATGGCGTGAGCACAAAGCTACAGTGCCCAGCATGCACTGCTCCCAGAGCACGCAGGTCTGTTCCTCTCAGAAGCAAGATGGCAATGCCTGTACCCCTGCCACCTCCTACCTAGTTGTCTGGGAGTTTGTCTCTAATATGTTTAGAGGAATGAAGGAGGAGAGGAGACAGTTCCAGGCAAATTCAAAGAGCAGAATTCGTTCAGTGGAGTGACCACAGTCCTATTTTCTGAACAGTCTAAATCCTGGATCTCTGAATGAGTGGCCAGAGAGTAAGAGAGAAAGGAAATCTCTCCCTGGGTTCCCTCCCATGATCTGTCTTCTGTGGAGAAACTTAAGTTTTTCATGAAATAAAACTCGTGCGTGTGTGCATGCATGTGTGCGTGTAGGATAGAGAGAGAAATCAAACCCACTCCATATCACTTATTGATATTGGAAACCCCTAACTGATTGTCTGTTTTTCACTGTCATCATATATATTTTAATGAGTAACTGAGAGGTTCTCTAGCAGAGGCTGTCAGCAAAGTGTCATTTTAAACAAGAAAATTACACGTTTATAATTTAACATAAAACAGTTGGCCTTCTGAGGCTCCACCTAAGGTCACAGGCTCTTTGTGGCTAAAATGAATTTAGTCCTTCCCTCGCTCACCCCACCAGTCCCTGCTAATTATTACTCTACTGTCTGGGTGTAGGCTGCCTAGTGAAGGTCTCTTGTGTGGAAAGCAACAGAGTCCTTGGTTCTCAGCTGTCTGGTTATGTATTTTGATCAGTTCTTTGTTTGGGAGGCCTAAGGTATCCTGGTATGAGTGCTGTTAGCTCTTGACAGTACACCAGTTGTGACTTCCACACTCCTTATAATGTACATTTCCTGATTATATCACTGTTTCTCCTGCGTTCTTGGTTGAGTAAAAGGGTTGAACCCTGCGCTGATTCCATAGCAGGGACCAGGACAAAGAAGACTCCTTATCTCAAATTGCTAGTGCTCAAAGATTCTAATTTGTCCAAAGATCTCCTGTCTAAGATCAGATGGATTTAGGTAAAACCCTGAGGGGGGGAAATAAGGACTTTTTAACACCTTTGCCTTCACCTTTCTTCATTCTTTGACTCGCCTGACCGGCGTCAGATTCTTTTAGACCACAAAGAAGAGACACGCTCAAGTTGCCTTAGCTTCTCTGTGTCATCCTGATGGGGACAGCAGACATCATCAGCTGCTGCCAGTCTTTGCCCTAACTCCAGGCCTCTCCCAGCTGGTCCTCTCAGCCTTCTGATGCCTCTTACTCTTGAGGGATGTTGAGAATTCACAACTGCCTACCCCGTGTCATGCTAGGAAGGATGGGTCTTGCAAGGTGGCCCTGGGGCTCAGCCAACTGGACCCTCCCTCCACCACTGGTGATGCAGGTGCCCTGTGGCTCTGATACCATGCTGGCTGTGCAACCTCTAAAAGACATGCAGGGCTCCTGAGCTACATCCTGAGAGGGGAGGGACACACTGCAATGGGATTTCCAAGAGTTCTTCTGGAGATTTCTACCCTGTGTGTTTCACACCTGGTGTGAGGCAGGGAGTATGGGAGCACCCCTTCTGTCCTTCAGCCAAACCAGACAGGGCTCTGTCTGCTCCTTGTGGGACATCCTCAGCCACATCGTCCCCTGTTTTAGGGTTGATTTTAGAAATCCAATGGTCTCGTCCTCCAGACCATGGCTCTCCGTGTTCCCACCCAAACCTTTGTGGATTTCTGAACAATGCAATGACAATAAACAACAGCCAGTGTCTCAAGATGTAGCTCTGGCAAATCTAAAGCACTTTACCTTTGGACTTTTGTATCTGCTGTCAATCTATCAGCAGTGTGACTGGCTCCCCTGAATCAAGGAACACCCCCGGGAGCAGAGCCAGGATGAATGAAACCTGCCGGGGAGGGCTACAGGAATGAAAAAGATGTGCGCTGAAATTTCAAAAACATTTCAAAGAATTTTAGACACCAAGGTAGGACAGACATTTTGAAAACGAGTCCTTTGAATCATACATCACAATACAAGAGCCCATAAATGCTGTTCCATCTGACACTGAGGACAAAAGGAGCTATTTTTAGTCTCTGAAGCTTATAAAATACACACAGGGTGCTCATGGTTAAATAACAAAGGAATGGCTGGAGTTCCTTACAAAAACCTTGCATGATCTGACCTCGTCTGTGAGTCAGCCGCAAGTTCCGCCACCCTGGTGGCATGGCCTGTGCCAAGCCGCTGGGTTCCCCATCCCGCCAGAGTCCTTCTGAAGCTAGATCAAATGCACCAGAATGGAATGTTTGGAAAGAGGATGCTCGTTAAGTGTCAGGAGAAGCAGACATAATCCAGAAGAGGCAGAGAAGAGCGGGAAGCAACTTTCTGCAATGATATCACAGGACAGCAAAGAGGGGAGCGGCATGTCACAACCGCTGTGACCATGGAGCTGGCACTTCAGACACCACTCCTAGGAGCCTAAAAGTCCTGTATCAGAAAGAAAAAATCTGCCCTCATCAGAAGCACTTCTGACAAATAAAATGCCCGAGCAAAATGTCACGATTCCCTTTTCAAATCGTAAATTACCCTAGTTTCCTGGAAAAGTGTGCCTAGACAGGCTTATTGCCCTTTGACAAAGCCAGAGACCTGCTCCATGAGAATGTTGCTCAAAGATGTAAAAAGATGTCTAGCCATTCAGACTTCCAGAACCTGGGGGAGAAAATTGCCATGAATCATCAATGAATGCCTACTCTCAGGGGCCAGACCTATGGGAGTGAGCCCCCCCGAAGCTATTAAAAGAGGCGGTTCTCATTGTGATAAAGCATTCTGGCAAAGCCACAAAAAAAGAGAATTATAGCAATCGATACAGATCAGAATGAAAACCGGATGAAGGTTTCAGCCAAACCTGTCTTCACTTCCGCTATTACAGATGATCTTTGGAGTGTTGAGATCAGCACAACTTGCAGATTGAGTATGGGAGTCAAAATTGGGCAGACATTTACAAGGGGTAATGCTGCCTCTCACACTTGCCACCTTCTCCCATAATTAAGCTGCATTTGAAAAGTCATCTACATCCCTTCAAGTGACTTACATGTACCTTGGCTCTTGATATACTTAACAGACCACAGTCCACAGATAATCTACAGATGTATTATAAACTTTGAAAGAATTCTTGGTGGAGTCTCCCCTAGGGATTCTGCTTATCCACGTTCAAGTTTATTGTGGCTCATCCTATGGAATTTACCAGAGAACAGATACAGTCCAGGAAATGTAGTCTATCCTCCCGATTGTCAGCCTGAGCAAAGTCAGTGTGGGAGGAGGAATAATCCCTGGGAACTGTGGCTGTTAGTTTACATGATAAAAGGGAATCTACAGGGGTGATTCAGTTAAGGGTCTTAAAATGAGATTATCCTGGATTATCCAGGTGGACCCAGTATAATCAAAGGGCCCTTATGCAGGGAGGCAGAAGAATTGGAGTCAGAGAAGGAAATGTGAGAATGGAGGTAGAAGTAGTTACCACACGATTTCCGGAAGGGGTTATAAGACAAGGAATGAAGACAGCTTCTCAAAGGTGGAAAAGGCAAGAAATGAATTCTGCACTTGAGCTTCCGGAAGAAATGCCCAGTGGATTGTAGCCGAGTGGAAACTATTTTGGACTTGTGACCTCTGAAACAGTAAGGGAATAAATCAGTGTTGTCTTAAGCTACTCAGTCTGTGGTAATTTTTTACAGCATCGATAGGAAACTAATACAATCAACAACTGTGGTCTTTACCCCTTCCTTTCTTCTTCTTTTCACTTTTCAACATCAGAAGAAATATCCAGTTCAGTCAAGGTTTCTGGAATGATTTGTTTCTCTCTTGTAGGGACATGATATTATAGACAGCTTCTCCTAGAAGTATTTGCATCTCCAAACATGACCAGGGAGGATAGATTTTCTATAGAAAGAAGGAGAGCTGAAGGCCAGGCACTGCAGCAGGTCTTCTGCCCTTGTCTTACCTCGTCTTCCCAGCTCCTTGCTGAGGTGTCACTGCCTCAGCTGTTTTGTGATGGGGCTACCAGCATTCAGAGAAGGTAAAAACTTAGACGGTGAATGAGCCATCCAAGGTGAGACTGGAGCCCAGGGCTGTGTACTTCAAAATTCAAGTTCTTTCCATTAGAATGTGCTGCTCCTAATTTACTTACACAAAACAATAAAATGCTAACAGCAGAATGTCTTCATCATTTTGGAAGCCGTAGTGATCTAAAAAGATAAAGGGGATGAGGGGACATTTGACATTCAACTCTGGGGCAGACCTCTTTGGCGGGGCATTGTGGACCCTCAGTGCTGTGTTTCCTTGGGGACAGACCAGTTGGCAGTGTGTGTCACCATTCCTAATTATTTCAAATCTCCTTATAGGGGTATTTGCATTTGGACTTTTTGCTACTGACATTTTTGTAAACGCCGGGCAAGTGGTCACGGGGCACCTAACACCGTACTTCCTGACAGTGTGCAAACCAAACTACACCAGTACAGACTGCCGAGTACACCACCAGTTCATAAACAATGGGAACATTTGTACCGGAGACCTGGATGTAATAGAAAAGGCTCGGAGATCCTTTCCCTCCAAACATGCCGCTCTGAGCATTTACTCCGCCTTATATGCCACGGTGAGTACGTGAGTCCTGCTATCTCTCCCAAGTTCCGTTTTGGCTGGCATGCAACCCACCCTCTGCTTCTCATGATCTCATCACTGTCACAGTGATTTTAAAAGTCACGTTACATGTTTCTCCTATATTATATCGTGCTATTGCGCTCACCCCTGACATCCCAATGTAATATCCTGACCTGCCAGAGGCTATTAATTTGGAAAAGAATGTTGATTATCACATAGTCAAATCCTCCCATTTTATTGATGCAGAAACTGAGACCCAGAGAATAGCCGAGAACATAGTAGGATAGAGCTGGGACTCAGGCTCCTGGCACAGTGTCTGGGATTCTCTGACTGCCCACAACAGCACTCTTGGCCAAAGTTCTGGGTGGTTCCAGAGCAGCATGCATTTCTCACACCTGCCTGCACACTTGCAGGGAGAGCCTTATGTGAATGGCTGCCCTGGCAATGTGGCCGAGCCTGGACAGAGACACAGCTGTCATCTGCTCCTCCTGACGCTCTTCTCCATCCCTTTGCCTGGACACATGAGTGATCGTACAAGATCCCCTGACACCCAAAACTCACTGCTCCCCAAATCAGATAGGCTTTGCCTCATTGGCGTATAATGTTCTCTTCAAATTTTTTCTCTCCTCACAGAGAAAACCTGTCCCATGTCTTAAAAGACAGGAAGAAATTATGTCCCTTTTTTTCCTACTGTTTAACTGCAACCAATTGGAAATTTCACCTTTCTCTGGCCTATGCTTCCTAAGAACCAAGAGTACAGAAGTATAGGGATCAGCTCGAAATTGTATGCATTTACCTATGGAAGATCACAACTGTTAGGTGAAAACTCCTTTCTTTCCTTCAACTTATTTTATATTCAGGATATGACTAGTCAAGTGATCCCCAAAGAAAGGTGAAGGAAAGAAAAGGCAGAAGAAAGACTATTTTCAAACTATCCCTTCCTCCCAGAGATTTTACATGTGCCCAGCCCCAGACCCCAGGGTAGCAGGTTCCTACCCTCTCCCGTGGGAATAAACTGTACTCTCCTGCGAGCCACTTCTGAGGACAACACCCCATGCAAGGTGGGAAAAAACGGTGACTGACTACAGCTCCAGTCTGTTTAATAGAGTTTAAAATAAGTTGCTTAATATTCTCTTTAAAATAGTGGTTCCTTTGTGTCCCATGTACAGGATCACACCTGTAGGATCAATTTGTCAACCACCAATTATCCAGAATAAATCTTCCTAGTTATTCCTTTTAGATCTACTCTTAAATAAATACATGATAAAAATTATTTCAGCTGCCTTCCCATTAAAGAAACATGAATGTCAGTAACACAGAAGCTTCAGCTTACAAAACAGATCAATTGTAGCCCAGTGAGGCTACTTTGCTTTACAAAAAAAAAAAAAAATCTATGCCATGTATTTTTTAAAGAAAAAAGTCCTCTCAGGCATTCAGCATGTTTTCCAATTTTCAAACTATTGATTTATCCTCAATTATCTAAAACTTAGAAGTTATGTGAAGCAATGTGCTCTTGCTTTTTCTGTATTTTCATCAGATTCAAGTCATTGCTGTGTAAAATTAATTTTTATAACAGCATTATAAATCTGTTTCTTATAATAAATCACTGCCTCATCAAATAAGATAGAAATTTCTTTTGGGAAGCAAGAAGTACAGTCAGCTCACTCACAACAGATGCCGCCATAGACATCAAGGATTCAGATATAATCCAACTCAAATTATGCCCCCCAGACCAGAACCATATAAACACTGGTACAAGAGTCCAGTTGTACATTTTCTGAGCCCCTTATATGTGTAAGTGCTTTCAGAAATTATTCAAGAAGGTCCTCCTAAGTAAAAGTTAATACGTTGAAGAATACTAACCATAAACCTATGTTCTTAATAGTTTGTAATCTTGTAGGAAAGATTTATTAAAGGATATAATTAAAAAACAATATAGAAGCATAAAAAAACTAAACTTACTTCACATGTGAACTAGATACATTTAACATTCCTACACAGCCTGGGAATGGTGTGATGATACGCTCTGATTTATGTGACTGATGTAGCCACAGGCTTGTGCTTGGGCGGTACAAACACACCGTGGACTGACTATATAATTTCAGTATTGACAAGCTATTTCTCAGGGTTGCAAACTCATTTATCCCATTTGTTAAGAAATGATGGAATGGATCAATGATGCCCTCTAATGGTTTCTTGTAACTATTACCAAAAGTGATTTACCAGTGTTTACTTGAAAGAGGCACTTCTTCCTGACTCCAGGCCACCATGGATAACATTTGATAACTGAACCTATGAAATTTAAGAGTTTTTACCCAGATCTTCACAATGAAATAAGAACAGCCTACATCTCAGATGCTTTCCCAGTCGTTCAGATGTTGTGGCACATAGAAAGTTTAATGTTTTAAAACACTGGAGTAAATGAATGGATAGAGGGGACCACAGCTGTCACAAGGAATGTGGGAATCAATTTCCCAGCACACCTGGAAACCTGTTTGTGTGACACACTCATTTGGAAATTCTAAATTAGTCAAATAATCAGTGAATACTTTTGTATTCATTGCTTGAAAAAGTGTGAAGAATCAGCTAGAACTGGGTAGGGGACACAAAAAGTAAGATATATGGCTGCTCACCTACTTGGTCTTCTTCGTAAAATTCATTCTCATTGAAGGTTTACTTGGTACCTGAGACTTTTATATGGCTTTCCTAACACCCCAAATGACTCTTTAATTTTTTGCATAAAGACTGCACATTCTGAATCTGATCATTATCATGCATTCCTCATGTTACTACAGTCTGCTCACATGTACCACTAGAATACAAGCACCATGGTTGATGCACATCTATTCATTATTCTTGGTGCAAAGTTTCCTACCCAAATTCCTTACTAAGTAGCTTAGTGGAATTGTTCAACTAATTGGTGTTTATGCTTTGGTGCCAACCCATTATGCATGCTGGGTGTGTATGTGCATGCATGTGTATGCCCCGTACAGGGAGGCTGCTGGTCACTCTCCAGTCTCTGTCCTATTCCAGATGTACATCACAAGCACAATCAAGACAAAGAGCAGTCGACTGGCCAAGCCCGTGCTGTGCCTCGGGACCCTCTGCACGGCCTTCCTGACAGGCCTCAACCGGGTCTCTGAGTATCGTAACCACTGCTCTGATGTGATCGCAGGCTTCATCCTGGGCACTGCTGTAGCGCTGTTCCTGGTAGGTCAGCTTCCCTCTCTCTCTCCATTTCTCCCTCTTGTGCCCTTGGAAAGATCATGGTGAGTCAGGTTTCCCAGACTTAACAGCCAAGTCCGTGTTCCTCTGGCCCTAAACTTGTGAGTTGCAATTATGATCCATCCTAGGCTACAAAAATGGTTTCTAAAGCACCTTCCAGAGTATGATTACACATTCCTTCTGGGGATCAGGGAGAGGAATGACTGGGGAAGACAGCTGGCTCCACTCCTTCAATACTGGGGTAGGACTGGGACTGGGGCCTGCAGACTGGTAACTCACATACCTTCAAGTCAGTGCTCTTAAAATATCTGTTCAGAATGTATTGGGAGCATTAAAGGAATTGCTTAAGGGAAAAAACAAAGAATGAAGAGCACATTGGAGGAAGCAGACAGCACCTTCTCCAGCATCCCAGGAAACTCAGCTCTGGCCCAGACTTGAATATCCCACTCAGAAATATGAAAACCCTCAGCTAAGCAAACCCACACTCTCTAGAAGGCCTCAATTATCTGAACACACCTTTCAGGCATTTCTTTCCACTTCAAGTGGCTTTTCAACCACATATGATCATCTTCCTGGAGAAGAGTTTTGGTTAATATAGTTTTCTTTGTATCTTTATATTACTGATGGTTTTTTTAGTTCCTCAAATAGATAGGGGTCTGGCCAGCTGCTCAACTAGGAAATATCTTAATCTGAGTTGGACTAGAAGAGATGAGGTTAATTTTTACTGTTTTTCTGTCTTTTAAATTCTTTGTAAATGGACAGAAAGTTTCCAACTTGATCAGTTTTGAAATACAGGTAATTATATTCTTCTCTCCCATCCTTCCCTTCCCATGATTCCCAAGCAACCATAGATCTTATTTCCATCACTCTGTTAGTTTGCCTTTTCTAAGATCTCATATAAATGGAATCAGGTAGGGTATATTCTTTTTTTTCCTGCTTTCTTTCAACCCAACATAATTATTTTGTGATTCATCCATTGTAGCGTGTGTCAATAATTCATCCCTTTTTTCTTGTTGTGTAGTATTCTATTGCAGGGGCATACCATCAAGGTGCAGTTTTTAAATTATCTTCAAGGACTTCACATATGTCCAGACGAATTTACAGTAAATCACTAGGCCTGGAGATTCACGTGACATGTTGTGTATGAAATAAATACCCTAACAATATTCAGCAAGCTTCCTCTAGGAGACAGAAGACATCACAGCCCAGATG